AGAATTTTCAGAAATGATTAGCCATGCAGAAAAAATGGTGCTGGACCAGATGAATACAATTTAGGCAGGACACAACAGGAATCTGGCAACAATTAAGGGGAACTTCCATGATCAAAAGCAGCATGCCTTTAAAAGTGCTTGCAGCTGGTTCACCCACTGCTATAATATTCAGCTTATGATATTCCTGTAGAGCCACTAATTTGGCCACTGTAGTAAACAGAATATCTGGGTGGGATATGCATTTCCTATACTCCTAAACAATATAGGAAATGTGTTACATACAGCTTTCAGGTCTTTTGTAAAATTGCTAAGTGCTCCAATTGGAAGTAGTGATAACTGAACCTTCTGATTGAAAGTCCCTCACTTTACATTTAAATCTAGGTAGTCATGGCTGATCCTGAAAAGCGAAGGAGAGTTAATAATATAATATAATAAAGTTGGAAGGGTCCTTGGAGGTTATCTAGTCCCACCCCCTGCTCAGGCGGGAAACCTATACATTTCAGACAAATGGCTGTCCAGTCTCTTCTTAAAAACTTCCAGTGTTGGAGCATTCACTGCTTCTGGAGGCAGGTTGTTCCACTGGTTAATTGTTCTAACTGTTCTAACTACATTGAGTTAATTTTAATACTTAATAAGAAATCTCAGGGTTTCATGCTATCCCACCAGTTTAGTTGCCCAGGCTATCATTTAAAATGAGACAAATACAACTTGTATTTCTCTATGATTGGAAAATCAAGGCAACGGACAACCACATTTCTTCTTCTTCTTCTTGTGCCATATCCGTTATCGGACGCTGGCGATCATGTTGGCGATCCTGTTTTTATCAGCAGCCGCACGAAAAAGTGCTGCTGAGTTTTGTCCAAACCAATCCCTTAGATTTTGAAGCCACGATGTTCTTCTTCTACCTGGACCTCGTTTGCCTTCAATCTTTCCCTGGAGGATTAAATGGAGCATGCCGTATTTTTCTGGGTGTCGCATCACATGTCCGAGATATTCTAATTTTCGTTTTTTAATTGTTTTGATGATTTCCCTTGGCTTTCCCAGGCGGCTTATCACCTCCTCCTTTCTGATCTCGTCAACCCAGCTTATACGTATGTAACAGCCGCCTGTAAATCCACATTTCAAATGCTTCTAGTCTCTTCAGGTGGCCTTCTGTCAGAGACCAACTCTCTAGTCTACTCCATAGAGCAGGATAGAAAAAATATAGCATCTGACAAGCCTGATTTTCAGTCTTAGGCTTATGTCGTGACTGCAGAAGACCTTTTTCATTTCACAACCACATTTATATTTTGCTAAAGAAAACATGGCTATGTGATGTGTTTAGTCAGCAGACATAAAGCTACACTCAAGAAAAGCTATTTATTTATCTTTGGCCACTTCCAAGATTGGGGAGGAGCCATAGGAGCATCATTGACTTTTTAAAAAGAGGCTTTCTAGTTTGGAGAAAGTTGTGTCCTGCCCAATCCGTCCAATAAACTACTCTCTAAGGAACAGCAGCTCTCTAGAAAGGAGTTTTTGCCAATTTTCCTAAAGCTCATTTAACAACCTTGAACCTGGTGTTTTCTGTCACCAAAATCACATGTTGCAATCTTTGAATCAAAAGCTTTCCCAGAAACCTCTCTGAGAAGAAACTCATGCTGGAAGCACAAAACCTCAATTCCTACAGTTATAGGATTTCCTCCAGTTCCCCAACAAAGTAAATCCTGTTTTTTTTTCAGTACTTACAGCCTGAAATTTAATACTGCTCCGGCATTGACCAACAGAGTCCTATGTGGCAGAAGAAGAAGAAAGAGTGAGAATATACAAAGGCTTGGCCTTTTCCACTTTAATTCTTAATATTTCTGAGCTGTGGGGGCAAGAAACGGTCTACAAGTTAGGGATAATTGCTTCCTCCATGCCTTTCCTGATGTCCCATCCTAAATTACTTCTCTTTTTTTTTTGCACTTTTAAGAGTTGCAGGGCAGACACAAGAAATTTAGCCAGTTTCCCTCGGAGAATGCAGGTTGGAGTATTCTGCTGTCCCTGTCCCATATTTACACAACCTTTACACTCAGTTCCGTAGAGTCGAATTTACCAAACAGGAAAACAGCTATGCCTCCCCCCGCCAGCTTAATAAAACTGGTTGCTTGGCAACAAGTTATCTCCCCTTACCCGAACAACAGCAAATCCCCCAACATCCTGCTACTTCCGCTCTGCTGCTATCGAAACGGAAATATACCCGGTTGACACGCAGCGGCTCAACATCCAATAAACACCCAACTTCATCTTGCCATTCCAACCGCTGGCCGCCAGGTGGCACTACTGCAAGGAGAAAGTCTGTGGTAGGTTACAAGCGGGGGGGTGACGTTTCTCCACAAACCCCGCCCACCAATTTAAAGCGCTGGGATGAGTTCTTTACCCTGGGAGCGGAGGCTTTCGCTCTTCAGTGGTTTTAAAAGATGGACACTATTTAATGTTTATTTGCTACGTATATGTAGAGGTGTGGGTCTATACATATGTTGTTCATAGTATGTTTAGGTGTGTGTCATGTATGTGTTTTACTTTGAGAGTGGGCAACTAAATTTCATTTTTGATGTGTGCCATTGTGCCCACAGTATAAAAATGACAATAAAGGTTATCTTATCTTATTTTTTTGGGGGGGGTGTCTGGTTGTATCTGGTTCCCCCTCCCCCACACACAAACACTAAGAACTGTAGGAGGATGTCTATTTTAGCCAAAAAGTCGGAGGGAGGAACAGGAATTGTGAAGCTATAGAAAAATAGGTAGATCAAACTGAAGGTTCTTCAGAAACATCCCTTGTATTATCTAGTAGTAGTAGTAGTAGTAGTAGCAGCAGCAGCAGCAGCAGCAGCAGCAGCAGCAGCAGCAATAATAATAATAATAATAATAATAATAATAATAATAATAATAATAATAATAATAAAGTTGGAAGGGACCTTGGAGGTCATCTAGTCCAACCCCCTACTCAGGCAGGAAACCCTATACCATTTCGGACAAATGGCTGTCCAGTCCCTTCTTAAAAACTTCCAGTATTGAATCATTCACCGCTTCTGGAGGCAGGTTGTTCCACTGGTTAATTGTTCTAACTGTCAGGAAGTTTCTCCTTAGTTCTAAGTTGCTTCTCTCCTTGATCAGTTTCCATCCGTTGCTTCTTGTCCTGCCTTCAGGCGCCTTGGAAAATAGCTTGACTCCCTCTTCTTTGTGGCAACCCCTGAGATATGGGAACACTGCTATCATGTCACCCCTCGTCCTTCTCTTCATTAAACTAGATATACCCAATTCCAGCAGCCGTTCCGTATATGTTTTAGCCGCCAGTCCCCTAATCTCAAACCTGTGAAGAAGTAGTGGTGAGGTGCCGACGGAACCTGCATGCTCAGAGGCAGTCTACCTTTAAATACAAGGTGCATGATGAGGTGTATCCTTCTTGCCTTCTGAGGCGTTATAGGCAAACGCACTCACAAAGCCAAAAAAGAAACAAAAAGACCAAAGCACCTCCTCACCAGCTGTCCCAAAGGTGCTTTTCCAAAAGGTAACTGGACTGTCTTGGTTTTTCCCTTGGAAATGTTTCACTTGTCATCCAAGAAGCTTCTTCAGTTCAGGTGTAGAACTGAAGAAGCTTCATGGATGAGAAGTGAAATGTCTTCAAGGAAAAACAAAGGAAGTCCCGTTGCCTTTTGAAAAGCACCTTTGGGACAACCATGACTTGGATGATTGAGAATCTCCATGGATACTCCTCACCAACTCAACACCCAGATGAACAGAGATTAACACCAAGATCAACATTAGACCAACAATTTAGAAGCAAATAATACGCCAATCAAGGTACTACCAACTCAGACTAACAGTAAACAATAGCCCAATCAAGAAACCAAGACCACTCCCACCAATACTGACAGGACAGGCCACTAGAATATAAAATGAAAGCAAACCCAGCTCCTTACTACCGCAGCACTGATAATGTTATCTAGTTTGGTAATGAAAGGTCTGCAAGAAAACAACCAAGCTCAGAAAGCACCAAGGACCTCGTAGTTCAAACCTGAGCTACACATATTCTCTTCTACCGGCAGTTACCGCGTTATGTGTAATACGGAGCAAGTGGACATTCCTCATAGATAGAAGATCTGCGCCATCAACTCCGTTCTGAAGAAGCTTCAGTTCGATTTACCATTAAGCACCTCAGGTGGGGGACACAGAAGAGATCCTGGCTGGCAATTTGAGCAAAGAGGCGAGAAAGCGCAGAGTTTGAGGTCTGGAGTCACAATATAGTTTGTCTGACAGTGTTGAAACTGAGGGCTTGGGAAGGGAAATAGCATTAATCCTGATTTAACTAAAGAGAATCCGAATCTCCGCAGAAGAACCTCGCCTGAGTGGGCAAGCGTTGCCTTCTGCCCTTTCAGGAAATGATTATTATTATTATTATTATTATTATTATTATTATTATTATTATTATTATTATTATTATTATTATTATTTTAAAAAAGCCGCGACATGTACCATCACCCTGGCAGCTGGTTGTATTTGCTTCTGCTGCCCCACTCTCGCTCGTTTCGGGGAACGGAGCGGAGACTGAGTTGCGGAGTCCCGGATTTCGTTTTTGAAGTCCGGCCCTAACTGGACGATCATTGCCCTCCTTTCCAGTAAATCGTTCAGCATCCCCTGTCGTTGATGTATTTGCCTGGGCCTGTGAAGTAGAAAGGAGAGTCGCCTCGTTTAGCAACCGCGCAAGGTGCCGGGGAAGGCGGGGACGCGAAGCGCCTGGGTTTTTCGGAAGTAGCGGCGGTGAAGGCAAGGCCGGAGAGAGACGGGGTCGTCTTCCCGGCGGGAGGAAAAAGAATTGCACTCTGCACATGCTCAGCTGCCCGAGGCGGCCCCCGGAGGCGCTTGCAAGCGGCGGGCCAAGTAGGGAAGGCGGCGGGGCGTCTCCATCCCTCTCTCCCTCCCTCGGCGGGGCGGCCGCTGCGTCCCTGCTCTGCCAGGCAGCGGTAGCACCAGCTACAGCCGCTGGGCGCTCGAGAGGGGCTCGCTTTTCGCCGGTCGCCCGCTCGGTTCTCCTTCCGACAATGGACCTGATCGGGGCCCTGGATGTGGGGGATTTGGCGGCCGCCTTCGCCCATCTGCCTGTCTTCCCCGTCTTCGACTTGGGCTACTTCGTAGTCTCTCTCCTCTACCTCAAGTATGAGAAAGGTAAGCCAGGAGGAGAAGCGGCTCCCCCTTCGCCCTTCCCTACGGCAGGGCAGGCGCCTCTTTTTCCCACGGCTAGGAAATCCGTTTTCGGGTGGTGCGAAATTCTCCATCTTTTTTTACCCACTGACCTGCTTCGGAGAGCCTTCTTCATCGAGTTATTATTAGCATTGATGATTAAATGCTGTTTATTGTTACCCATACCCAGCATTGTCCTTGTAATGCTGGCTCTGGCTCTTGTTCCATGCCTCCATCCCCACATTCCCCCCTGTCCTAAATCCAGCCGAAGGCGTTCTTCCTCTACAGGTTGACTTGACTTCCAAGATGGGCTTGATTAAAATGAGTGGGTGGGTAGTGATTTTGGCCCAAAAGCTCTCTCCCCCAGTGATGAGGATATTCTAGGACAAGGGCCAGAATTGCAGCTCCCGTCTGCACAACAGTAAGGCAGTTTCAGAGCTCGGCCATCAGGCGGGATTAAAGAGGGATAAAGACGGGGTTGCAGAAGGTGAAAAGGGCAGGAAGAAGTCTTGAGAAAGTGGCCCAGAGCTTCACAGACCAGCAGAAGTGACCTCCCTTCTTCCTCACTGCTAAGTGAGGTAATCCAATGTAGTGGTTTCCTCTCCAGCAGACTTGATTTTATTTGAATCTAGTGGTCTTGAAAAGGTGAGAGGCACATGACCAATGCCGAAGGCCCCAAATTTGCCTCATCTATTGGAAGAAAGAAGAGAAAGTGAACGAACGCAAAGTGGCGCTAAGGAGATCGACCGCTTCAATATCCGGTTCTTTGGTTGAAGAACCGGCAGCTTTGAAGGGGTGAAGGGGGTGTCTTTGGTACAACTGAGTCTCCTTTGCTGGGATTTTAAAGTATTGCTTTAGCAGCAGGAGTGGATTTAAGAGTCCTGGTTCCAAAGACAGTTCTAAAATAAGAAATGATCAAGTGGGAATATCCTTCTCTTCTCGTCCACACCAGAGGGATGAGTGTCTGTGAGAAACTTGAGCCCTTGAATCTGAGACCCCTGGCTTGATGGATGGATGCAGTTGGTGACCTTCTCCTGGAAAGGACAAGCTGGGTTCCTGCCCATGAAGGCTTAAAAATGGCTGGAATTGCCTGGCTTTTTCAAATTGCCGGAGAAGGAATTACTGGGAAGGAGAGAAAGAAATTGGACCCCAATGATCCTCCAATGATCATCCAATCGCTGGGATTCAGACAGAAAGCAAAGCAATTGCCAAAGGTTTTTTCCCAGCCTCCTCTGATTTTCCACACTTGCCAGTCTCAAAATCTGGCATTTTGAGAATTGAGTTGTCATGAGTATTGATACTGAGTTACTAGTCCTTATTGTTAGCGAGAGAGCCTGCATGGTCATAGAGGGAAAAGTGAGGAGGTTTTGCTAAGAAGAATAAATCTGGATTATTAATGTTAACATATTTTGGAAATGATGTTTAAAAATAGCCAAGTGACCAAAAGTCATTTCTCTACCCTAGTCAAGCTTACAGGCCTGGTTGGTAAATTCAACTGCAGAATTATTGCTTTACTGTTTACAACATTCAGTTAGATTATATCATTAGGGCTTCAATCCACTAACTTCCTTTGAAATGAAAGCATAAGAATAACCTTACAGTTTCAAAAGACAACACATAATTCTGGTATTACTAGTGATAGCAGACAGCTATTTAAAACCACGAAGTATGGTGTTAAAGTGTTGGAGTGCAGGTAGTCCTCAGCTTATGACTACAATTGGGACTGAAATTCTGTTGGTATGTGAGACACTTACCATCATCATCGGCCAAATAGGTTCATTAAGTTAAGGCTTTCTTTCTTTCTACACCACTAGGTTGTTAGTGTGAGGCATAATTACAATAGAGGACAAAATGCTATATTCACCATCTTGAGTTGCTGAAGAAAAGGCAGGATGTAACTCCAGTTAAAATGCTCCTTCTTTCTGCAATACAGAAAATTCATATATCATCTTGAAAATGCACAATAGCTGCAGAAATGGTACCCAAAATTCCTCTTCCACCAAAACACCTGTTTTCAGGTGCAAACAATATAAAGAACCTTCATTAGGCTAGTCAAACCACCTTTATCTCTATCTGGCAGGAACTGGGGTGATACCCTGGTTAATCAGAAAGAGAAGGTTTGAAGAACAGGGGTGTCAAATTGCCGGCCCACGGGCCAGATGCATCACACAAAAGCTGTGCCACCCCAGCTCTGGCAAGGGGGAAAAAGTCACGATATGTCGCAACACGTCACGTGACGTGATGAGCTTGACACCCCTGCTCTAGAAGAATCTCCAGAACCTCCAAGCCACTTTCAGAAGTTCTGCATATTATGTAACATTCAATTCTGGGCAGAAATGACTCACTTCCCTCAGTTTACCTTCCCTGAAAGTCATTTCACTAATTATGCCTGCAACAGCATCTCTAGCTTCTTGGTGGCTCCTCTCTACCACCAGTTGCCGATTCCTTTCTGCAATTAATAGTATGGACTCGCAGCTGCTTCATCTTAGCATGGAGGACAGAGGGGGAATTCTTTAGGCCATCCACCAGGGCCTGACTTGCCCCAGACAATATGCCTTGGTTGTTTTATGCGTTCTTGAAGAAATTAAACAGTGATTGGAAGATTTCCCACATGCAAAATTTGGTATGTTCTACTACAGCGGTTCTTAACCCATTTGGGGTCGATCGACCATTTCACAAGGGTCGCCAAGCAAGGCTGTCCGCCATTTTTTCCCCTTTTCCAGCGGGTGCCTTACCTCCCTTGGGCTGGGCCAGCTGGTGGTCGGCCTGCTCCGTCTCTGCCGCTTGCCAACTACGCCTCGGCCGGCGCAGGGGGCGGAACCACGCATGCGCGGCGCTCCCGGGCAGGGAAAGTCCTCGACCTACGACCGGTTGGGTAGTCCTCGACTTACGACCGGTTTAGTCCTCGACTTATGACCGGTTTAGTCCTCGACTTACGACCGGTTTAGTCCTCGACTTACGACCGGTTGGGGTCGCGGCATTAAAAAGGTTGAGAACCACTGTTCTACTAGTACCAGAACATAGAAACTGTGGCCTGTACTTGACTCTCTTTTCCAAAGTCCTGGGCACAATCTCCAGACAACCTCCAAAATGTTGTTGCCAAATTATACTTTTAACTGTGACAAAAGGAGTAATATGTTTAGCATTTGAAATGTGTTCAATTAAGTTTGTGTCAATTAACCATGTTTTCCTCTCACATTGCTCTGTCCTGGTCCTGACTTCTTTTTGAATGCATCCTCCATAGTATGTATGGAAAAGGAAAGGAAAGGAAAGGAAAACAACACTCACTTTAGACCGAATTTTTATTCTTGGTGACTACATGGAAAAATCCATATAATTTTCTTTACAATAGTGTGGAAGTGTTTGCTATTTCCTTCCTTTGGGAATGTCACTCAGAAATCAAGTGCAAACCTCACCCTAAAAGACAATATTTGCACACCTCCTTCCTGAATAAAAGAAACCAAAGTTCAAATGTTTGTTCATTCCCTAGCCAAGATTCCCTCAGTCTCCCTATTTCCTGGACTATAAAATGGAACCCGGGTTAGAATCATAGAATCATAGAATTGGAAAGGATTTGGAGGTTTGGAGGTTGTGCAATCTTTTCTTGAAGACCTTCAGTGATGGAGCACTCACAACTTGGGAGACAAGCTGTTCCATTGGCTAATTGTTATCACTGTCAGAAAATTTCTTCTTAGTTCCAGCTCTCTCTAAAGAGCTTCTACCCATACCTTCTTGTTCTACATTCAGGTGCCTTGGAGGATAAATCAATTCCCTCTTCCCTGTGGCAGCCCTTCATGTATTGGAAGACTGCTATCATGTCTCCCCCGAGCCTTCTCTTTGTTAAGCTAAACATACCTAGTTCCTTTAGTTTTCTTCATAGGATTTAGTCTCCAGACCTTTAGCATCTTTGTTGTTCTTCTTTACACTCTTTCTAGGGCCTCAACATCTTTTTTATATCATGGTGGCCAGAACTGGATGCAATATTCCAAGTGTGGCCTCACCAGTGTGATACAGAGCAGTACTATCATTTAATAATAATAATAATAATGATAAAGTTGGAAGGGACCTTGGAGGTCATCTCGTCCAACCCCCTGCTCAGGCAGGAAACCCTATACCATTTCGGACAAATGGCTGTCCAGTTTCTTCTTAAAAACTTCCAGTGTTGTCGATGCAGCCTAGGACTGCATTGGCTTTTTTGGCAGCTGCAGCACAATGCTGACTCAGACTTTAAGTGGTGATTCATCCAGACACTTAGATCCTTCTCATAATTTCTATAAGGAAAAAATAATTCCTGATCTTTTATGGACTAGAGATCTGTAGGGTGGGTGTCTTGAGGAGAACAGTCTTTGCTACTTTCACTTTATTTTTAGATCACAGCAAACATATCAGTTTCATTGGAAGGGGGGATCCAAACCCAATTCCTTTCTAATGGCTGCAGAGGTGAGAACAGCTGCTCCGAAGTATTATGCATTGGCTGGTTCATTCATTTGAACCTGCCACGTTGACAGGAGAAACAGAGACAATGAAGGGCTGAATGATACTTTGACAGTCAACATATTGATTATGGAGCAATGCTTCCAATATTATTGCCATTTAGTCTCAGGAGCCAAGTCGGAAGAAGATTTTGCCACTCCATCAGATGCGTAATAAATGGATCATTGGAAGAGGTCACTATGGGATGTGTAAGTCGCCCATCCTTGGGTTCCAGGGGTAGGCAACCTCGGCTCTTTTATGACTCGTGGACTTCAACTCCCAGAATTCCTGAGTCACCTGACTCAGGAATTCTGGGAGTTGAAGTCCACGAGTCATAAAAGAGCCGAGGTTGCCTACCCCTGGGTTAGGCCATAAGGTGATAAGAGTTAAATACAGGTAGTTCTCAACTTACGACCACAGTTGAACCCAAAATTTATGTTGTTAAGTGAGGCATTTGTTATGTGAGTTTTGTCCCACTTTACAACCTTTCTTGCCTTAGTTCTTAAGTGAATCACTGCAGTTGATAACTCGGTTGTTAAGTGAGTCTGGCTTCCCCACTGAATTTTGATTATACGACCATGGGGATGTTGCAAAGGTTGTAAACTGTGAAAATAGTCATAAGTCTTTTTTCGTTTTTCGTTTTCTTCAGTGATGTGTAACGTCAAACAGTCACTAAATGAACTGTTGTAAGTAGAGGACTAACTGCACTATATTTTAAACAAATCAGAATACAAGATACATATTTATGACACTTTTACTTGAGAACAAAGGCCTGTGATACTAGAAAGCAGCAGCAATGCCAATGTTAGAATAGCTTGCGCAAGAGCATTGCCCACATGTACCTAACCATGGCACAAACATGGTTTGGTAATCTCTTTCTTTGACTGAGTCTGCCATTTGATCTAAACTGATAAAATTCATACCCTAGACCAGTTTCGTTTAGTGGTTAAGGTGCTGGCCTAAGGACCAGGAGACTGTGAGTTCTAGTCCCACTTTAGGCATCAAAAACCATCTGGATGACTTTGGGCTAGTTCAGTGGTGGCGAACCTATGGCACGCCAGAGGCGACTTGGAGCCCTCTCTGTGAGCACACGTGCTATCGCCCCAGCCCCACCTCCCCCCGCGGCCCCCTCCTCACCAGCAGCCCCTCCAGAGGAGAGTCGCCCCCGAGTACGGCCCACGTGGAGCAGCGCAGCCAAGCACATGGAGCCAGTCAGCTGGGACAAGATTCCGCCCTCGCACTCCATTGCACACAGATGATGCTGCAGGGTTTGGGTGGAAGGCATGGCCGCCATGGCGCTGCTGGGCCACCTGGGTGATCTGCGGTGGGTCGTGGAGGCGGTGAGTGGCCCTGCAGGTGGGCGGTGTGGGGGCGAAGCAGGCTGGGGGTGGGGGCAGAATGGGTGGGATGGGACGGAGCAGTGCGGGGGTAGGTTTGGGGCACTCGGTCTCTAGAAGGTTTGCCATCACTGGGCTAGTTATTCTCTTTCAGCCCAAACTACCTCACACAGTTGTTATTGTTGTGGGGAAAATAGGAGGAGGAAGGAGTATTAGGTATGTTTGCTGTCCTGAATTATTTATAAACAATAATAAAAGCAGGATTAAAAAATGAAATAAATAGTTAAATGGCAACAAATGCGTTTTCTAGTCTCTCTTTGCTGCCTTTGTAATTGTTTTGCAAATATCTTGTAGATTTTGTAACTGGGTCTAAAACCCCAATACCTGTATTACCCCAGGACTCCAAATGGTACAAAACTCAAACACTGGACTTGCATACAAAAATAAGATACCAGAGCACATTCAAAGTATCTGAATCAATAAATAAGACTGAAGCACACATATCCAAGTTAAAACGTAAACCCTATTTCTTTTAGCTAAAAACATTAACCTATTTAAAGCAGTGTTTCTCAAACTCAACAACTTTAAATTGTATGGACTTCAACACCCAAAATTCTCCAGCTAGCATCTGGCATCTGAAGTTCCCACATCTGAAAGTTGCTGAGATTGAGAAACACTGCCTTAGAGACATACCAGGCTCTAGAAGAAAGGGTCTTTTTGCCTCTGTGGATTTTCCTAGTTTCTTGTGGATTGCCAATTCCTTGACTCAATCCTTAGCTTCCTGAGGCTTTGGATTTTAAATAGCAATTTTCTCTCTAGAAAGAGAGCAGGGTAAAGGAATATAGAGACATAGGAACATGACCTTAATGGAAATATGCAGGAATCATTACATAGGTAAAAGGGGATCAAACATTTTTTAAGCTCATCCAGAGCAAGGAGATAACATTCAAAAGTGGCTCAATCAGATTCCTGACTGATTCACTAAAAGAAGAGGGAGGAGGTACAGCACTATCAGATACACAAAATGCTGTTTTTAAAGCCAACTTCAATAAAAGTATTTTAGCCCTCCTGGGAGGGGTGATTTCCAGGTCTACTTAGTACAGCTGAGAAGAGATTTCCCTATTCTTTGTGTCATTAAGTAGGAACTTTCCTGCTGGAGAGAAAGGTGTTTAAATCTCTCCTGAGAAGTAACTGAAGGCTTCACAACAGAAGTAAGCAGCCAGAAGTGAGGGACTGAAGTAAGTTGTTTCAAGATTTTTTCATCCAAGAACAGCTGGATTTGAAATGGCAGTTTTCTCCTTCTATCTCTGCAGGTGTGGTGGAGCTGTCCCGGAACAGCCCGTTGGCCTCTTGGGTCTGTGCTATGCTGTATTGCTTTGGCAGCTACATCCTTGCTGATCTCCTGCTTGGAGAAGCCCCTATTGATTATTTCAGCAACAACTCCAGCATACTTCTGGCCACAGCTGTTTGGTAAGACCACCTTGTGTGACCATAAGGCTAGGCCTCAGTGCAGAGCCAGGACTTAGGAACAGTAGCAGCACTTAGACTTATATGCTGCCCCATAGTGCTTTACAGCATTCTCTGAGGGTTTATAATGTCAGCATATTGTCCCCAACAATCTGGATCCTCATTTAACCTATCTCAGAAGTATGGAAAGCTGAGTTCATTGGGATTGAACTCCTGGCTGTGGGCATAGTTAGCCTGCAATACTGCATTCTAAACACTGCACCACCAAGCCCCTTACACTCCATTTCTCCACTAGTGTTCCTGTTGCCCTCCAAAAGAGATATTTCTAAAAAACCAGAATGAACATAAATATAACTCCAGGTTAATACATGTGCTTGACACATACCAATTGCTGAAACTGTTAAATTGTTAGTTTCACATTGCTATTGTTGGGTAAGGGAAGGAACTGCTATCATTGCTAAGTTGTGCATATGAAAGAGAGATATACTAAGATTTCTCCTTCCAGGCTTCCCAAACTAACACAAGAAGAGATAATTGAGAATCTTGTGCTGTCTAAAAATATAATATGGTTGTTGTGGAATAAGTACGTAATATCCTGGATTCATTCTGTCTGTCTGTCTGTCTGTCTGTCTGTCTGTCTGTCTGTCTGTCTGTCTGTCTGTCTGTCTATCTATCTATCTATTTATCTATCATCTTTGCTAATCATCTAAGGGATAAATGGATGATGCTAAAAGTTATATGGATGGACAGATGGACAGGCAGACATATGATTGAAGATAGAGTGTAGATGTCTATTACAAGCTACGGTGTTTTAAAACGATGCCATGGGGTCCTGACATCATTACACAATGATACAAGTGTGCCTAATGACATCCAATTCAAATGTATGTGTCACTTATCTGATGATTTCAAGATGCACAAGTTGTTATTTTCTCTACTGCCACACATATTTACCCACCCCTTGTAGAGTGGAGAAGCTAAACAGGTCAATAGAAATAAAACATATTATTCAGGTAGCAATGATTATGTATTCATTACAAAAACATTTGCTAGATGATAAAAGAGGCAAACTTTAATTGGTAAATCAATTGAAAAAAATTACATGTACAAACAAGAAGAGATGGAATGGAATTACCTGAAAAATAGCAATTTGAGTTTTTTCATGCTGCAGTCTGCTCAAAAATTGCCTTTCTAAGGCCAACAATAGAGTCTCTATCGTGGGAGACTGAAGCTTATTTCTTCTCTTCTTACTTTTTTTATGTCATCCTTGTTGATGTCAGATCTCTTTCAACCCAATGACCGGTATCACTTTTTATTCTGCATTGCTTTCCAGGTACCTAATCTTCTATTGCCCTATGAACTTATTTTACAAGTGTGTCAGCTTTCTGCCTGTCAAACTGATTTTTGTGGCAATGAAAGAGGTAGTCCGAGTTCGCAAGATCGCTGCTGGTGTTCATCATGCCCACCATCATTACCACCATGGTTGGCTCATTATGGTCATAATTGGATTTGTCAAAGGTGAGCTCTGTCATTTCAGCATTGTGATCCCACTCAGTATTCAGACAGGTGGTGGAATGGTGAGTGTCAGAACTGCTGAGATACAAATTAGGCTGAGATTTCTCGTCTTCTGGGGAAGAAAAACCGATGGTTATATTCCTTATTTCTCAGAGAAAATGTCTTCTTGCATAAAACAAGGATGGTGAACCTATCACTCTCCAGATGTTGCTGAATGATTACTTCCACCTGTTCTAGCCAGCATGGCCAGTAAAAAGGGATACTAAGAGTTACAGGTCATTAACATCTGGATTGACACAAATTCACAGCATGGCAGGCCAAAGTGAAGCCCTTATGACAGTGGTGGCGAACCTATGGCACACGTGCCAGAGGTGGCACTCAGAGCCCCGCCCACCCAGTCTGCCATGACCAGCACAGCCACGCCCACCCGGCACCCTGTGATAAATAAGTGGGTTTTGGGTTGCAGTTTGGGCACTGGGTCTCTAAAAGGTTCACCATCAGTGCCTTATGAAAAACTATTCTACAAATAAGCACCATAACTGAGAAGTTTTTCCTGCTAAACTTGACCCTACCTCTCATTGTCAGGGTGGTGGGGAACTACTAGCTAGTTTTTCTGTTGGGTATATGGTTGAAGATGGTGGTCCTGAAACTATTTTGGTGACCAGATTCCTGCTCTAAACCCCCAAACAAATGTTAGGATGTTGGAATGCACTTCCAGCTGAATCAGATGTTGCATTCTTCCATTCTTCCTAGATTACCCCAAAGCTTGGTGAGATGCTTAAAAGTAGGATATCAATGGGACTTCTGAACTCTTTTCTTTATTTGTGGCAAATACAGTTGTCAAACACAATAAGAGGGTTTCCTTTCATTTAAGGTAGAGTAACACCCAAAAAAAGCTATCTCAAGATACAATTCTATAAAGCCTCCTTTCGAAAAGATCAAAGGAAATAAAATAGTATCTTGGCCCTCTCCACATATCTGGTATAGCCCCGCCCATCTTACATCATTAATCAGTGAGAATTTACAGAGAACAATTAATGAATGGCTTGCCTTCAGAAGTTACGGGCCTCCATCACTGGAGGTTTTCAAGAAAATATTGGACAACCATTTGTCCGAGATGGTGTAGGGCAGGGGTAGGCAACCTTGGCTCTTTTATGACTCGTGGACTTCAACTCCCAGAATTCCTGAGCCAGCCATGCTGGCTCAGGAATTCTGGGAGTTGAAGTCCACGAGTCATAAAAGAGCCAAGGTTGCCTATCCCTGGTGTATGGTCTTCTGCTTGAGCAAGGGTGGGATTAGAAGACCTCCAAGATCCTTTCCAACTATTATTATTCTATTCTACTATTTCCAGTGGAACATTGCTCAGGCTGCTAGGTACAAAAATGATAGAGATCACATAGAGGTTCATGATTGAAACATCTGTTACCACTCATAAGACATTTCCCTTCTGATGTAGAAATTGAATCAAGAAGGAAGAAATCACGTTCCTTTTCTTTTCTGTTAATAACTGATTTCATCTGTCAGGCTAGAAATTCCACCAACTAACTCTTCCCTACTAATCTGGAATACTTTTGCCACAAGGACATTTTAGATATAGAGAATTGCTTTATATCTGACCAGACCCTTTGTCCTTCAATACTTTCTCTTGTGACTGGTAGCTTCTCTCTAGTATCTTATTTTAGCTAGAAATGTCAAGATCAAGCCTGAGATCTTTCAAATGAAAAATAAGTTTTAAGACAGTGAGAAAAGCTTGTGTATTTCTTATTTTTACATGAAGATGAGTTTTGAGTTCAAAGTCATTATTTGGGGGGGTACAATTGTTTTGATTTTTCTGGTTGTGATCTGGAAAGAGAAGTGCTTTTAATCTGATGTATTTCCAAAATGATTGAATCAGCCTGCGTCACATTAAAATCCTGTGAGGTCAAGAGACTGTTTCGATTCAAAACAGTACAAATTCAAAATGTTTATTTTTTTTACATTTTTCTGTACTGCTTTTCTTTGGCTAATTCAAAGCAACCAGAAACTAGAATAATCCAACTTCTATAAAGGTGGGGGCTCTGGCATCACTATCATATTTTCAGTTTTAAATAGTAAACTTAGAAACAGGCATCACTTTTATTATTCAGAATAATTAGTGAAATTGCCATTTCCTTAAAGGAGCTGTTGTGGCTGAGAGCACCACCACAAAGATGCTCAATGTTTTTCTCCTGCATTAGATTACCTACTTTGACAGGAATTATCAGTAAGCATAGGAAAATGAAATTCCACTCACCTGCATTCTCATTGCTGGTCTGTTTACAAGTGTGCTACCATCTTTCTGTTCATAGGTTCTGGAGTTGCCTTGATGTCCAACTTTGAGCAATTGCTACGTGGTGTCTGGAAGCCAGAAACAAATGAATTCCTTCATATGACCTTGTAAGTAGAGAAACCGAAACTTTTGGACTGGTGTATCTTCTGGATAGAGATCAGTCATGTTCTAACTGACCTGGAAGGAATCTGATGATTAATGGAAATTAGAAAAATCAGTAGAAATCTGATAAGGGATTCTCAAAACACATACTGTCTTCACCTCCTGGGGTTGTGGGTGCTCCATCACTGCAGGTTTTCAAGAATACAGGCCGTCCTCAACTTACAATCTTTTGTTTAGTTTAGTTCAAAGTTGCAAAAAAGTGACTTATGGCCATTTCTCACACTTACGAGCATTGCAACAATCCCTACAAAAAGCATGTCCTTTCTCTAAATTTTGGATTTATTTGTCTGAGATGGAATCACGGCTGTTCTTCTTATGAAGGCTTGCTTGTCTTGCAGTCCATCCAAGGCCAGTCTGTATGGAGCAGTGCTCTTCACCCTTCAGCAAACCCAGTGGCTTCCCATCTCCAAAGCAACCCTCATCTTCTTCTTCACTATTTTTATGATCATCTGCAAGGTAAATTCCTCTGTCCGGGGCACATGTGAGCATTTGGGTGGACTGAATGGGGGAAGGAGCCAAATCCATTTCTGTTCACTGGAAGGTCTTCAGAAAGGCAAGGAAGGCTTCAGGCCCTGGACTCATTCATTGGAATAAACCATGGACAGTTGACTAAACTACGGTCCTTGATTTATGCATAACACTAAGCTATTAACCGTGGTTTAGATATTTCCCACAATTCACTAAGTCAAAGCTAACAAATCGCACTATGGATTAACAGAAGCATTTGGTAGAAGCCACAGTGACATTCAACATATCGTGAACTCAAATTATGAAATTTGTATTAGTCACTTCATTGACACCAATATGTGTAAGTCACATTACTGACATCATTTGCATGATGAGGTCATGACATTCATGATATTGCACTCTTCCCCTACCGATGAGTTAGAGTGAGTTTTGAATTTCCAGAGATATGAAAGGAAGCTTGGCTGGTATATCATAAGAAATACTATTAGGTTGCTTAACAATGGAGACCTTTCCAGTAGCCTTTCCACAGTATAGCTATGGGTCCTGCTGACTATAGGTTGGAACTGTGGTGACCCCATAGAAGCAGCACCAGCACTTTATTGAAAAGGGCTGGATTGGCCAGAACAGGAGATTCATGTGCCAACCTTGGTGTAAGAAGGGGTAAGAGGAATGGAAAGAAGCACAGGTTGGAATCACTTCGATTTACTGTAGCTGACTGAGCAATGGAAAGCCTGGCACAGTGGGTGACCACTAATGGAGCTTTTTCCTGTCATGCAGGTGTTTTTGACAGCAACTCACTCCCATAGCTCACCATTTGCCCCTCTGGAAAATGTGGTGTGCCCCGTCCTCTTTGGCTCTGCATTTGCCAGTCATGATAATCACCACCACCACCACCACCACCATGGAGGATCCCAGGAGCCATCCCTTCCATCACCACCTCAGATGCCAGCCAAATCAAGGGAGGAGCTCAATGAAGGAACCCGGAAACGGAAAGCCAAGAAGGTGGAATGAGCATCAAGAAGGCTGACAGATCCATCTGAACCACCAAAACTTTGCTGCATACCTTGTGTGACTTATTGCCTTCCAAAGACATGGTTGGAGGAGGCTCCCAGGAAGATCAGTCCTCTTCTTCTGGCCCCTGCCTTGGTTTTCCTGGCCTGTCACCTGTGAGGCGCAGAACTAATGTCCAAATGGACCTTTCATTACAGTTTCTAGCTCCGCCTTTCTATTGGTCTCCTCCCCTTCCTAAGCCACACCAATGGAAAAGCTGGGATGTATTTTGGTGTCTCCTCCGTATGGCAGAGAGAGAGAGAGAGAGCGCTTCTTAGCCTGCAAAACAATCCAGGGATCTGCACTCAGGCCATCATTACAGGACTCTAAGGCCAGTGATATATTTCAAGGGCAGAGAGACGTTCCAAATGGAGTGACTGTCATTTCACTCTCTACATCAACATTTTGGATGTCTTGTTTGGTTGCCATTTGTATAAAGGCCTTGAGCATAGGAGAAGACCATTGCTGCTGCTGCTGCTGCTGCTCTTTGGGCTGTTAATATATGTGCATTTGTGTTAGCATGTTGCCATTTGTATATACCTCTCCAAAATTTGATAAGCTTTGCTGTAAGGAAGGAAACCAAAGCAACTACTGAGTGTTTCAATCCTAGCCTCTTTGCCAAACACTGTGAGAGATGGACATGCATGTAAATTATTTATTGATTGATGCTCCTTCCCCCAAGATAATTATTTATTGTTGCCTAAGGATTTTAAGCAGTTTGCTTTCTCCTACTATGCCTCTTCTGCAAACAGTTGGGTTGTTCCTACTGAACTGATTTGGATTCTGTTGTTGTTTTCCTCCTTCGATTAAGAGCTGATAAAAGTGAGGGGCTATTGGCAGAGGTGAGAATTAGCTTCTAGCAGCTATATAAGCCTGTAGGAGGCCTAAAGAATCCCTGCCTATGAGTTATGGTATATCTACAGATTTTGTCTAGAAAGTCAAAGCTAGACTATATGAATAATGGAGCCATGGTGAGCACCTGCAGAGTTCCCTTCTTGCACCAGAGTAGTCAGCTGCCAGCTCCTGAGATTACAAAGAAGACTTAAACTCTAATTAGAGCATAGAAGGAGACTTTGATTGGGGCATTGACTATCACAGGACTTCCCTTACTTATCATTTAGCTCTGACAAAAACATGCCACTGCAAGTTCTTTTTTTTTGCTATGTCCTCATGATGTTGCCTTCACCTTCACCACCACACATCCCGAGGCAACAAAGTCGTCCTTAGGTGGTCCAGTGTAAAAGTGATGTTTTCCTCCTTTTAAGCAACAGTTTTATTGTATGGTAGGTGCCATCTGGCACCGTTCACCAGCCGTTCTGTCAGTAGTGCTTCCAGATGACCTACTGTATATGGGTTGAGGTCAGCCAAGCACCTGTTGACCATTTGAAGTAGCACACCGTTACTCTCCCTATCAAGTCCCCAGGCACAGCTCTCCAGGACGATCCTAATCTGGACAGCAGACGGGTTTGGTTCTTTCGAATGGGGCTCTTCCACTTTATGCACAGGGCCAATCCCCGACTAGTAGCAGCGGTGGGAAGGGCTGCACTGTGAAGCAGGAGAGAGAGAGAGAGAGGAATGGCTCTCACTCTGCTGCACTTTTCATCCTCTGCTCAACTCAAGTGAGATGGGCGGCATATAAATTTAACAAATAAATAAATAAAACTATGCCTGGCAGCCGTTTTTTCAAACTGCCTTTGAACGTGAGTTTATTCTTCTTCTCAAAGAGCACTAAACCCATGTTCTAAAGCAGACCGTACAAGAGTTGATAGGTGCAGGTAAGTTATGCTCTGGAATGTCATAGACTGGAAGGCAATCCCACAAGTACCAGATTTGATGGCCGATGTTTTGATATCAGCCATTTGAGCTGATCCAGGTTTCCAAACCCAGGAAGACCTGGTGAATAAGGAGGCTCCTCTTTCCTTTCTTCTGCTACCTCTTGCCATTTAGGTAATTGATCCTCCCCCAGTTGGAAGAAGTGACAGATAAAAGGGGGACAAATTCTGGCAAATGGTGAACCTGCAGATCTAGTAGTTCTAGTTTGAGATCAGCTCAAACCATTACCAGTCATAACGATGCTGTGAGTAGGAGATTGTTTCCCCACAAGTTGGTTAAGTTGTGAAGGTTGGACACCACTCTCCAGCTACAGACCAGAATAAAGACAATGGGGCATAGCAATGGGAACAGATGCCAAAGTAGCTTTCTGTTGGCTCACAGCATTTTAATGGACCTATAGGGAAGTTGCCCATGAGTGGTGAGGAGTGGAAATAGCTATCCAGAAATAGAAAGTCCTGGCTTTCCTTTTCTCCTTTTGGGGACAATTGTCTCCTGTTGGACATCGGCAAGAGAAGGAACTGATTGACATGAAGAAGCAGAAGAGCCTTGAAGAACACGTCCTTCTCCAAGATGTATGCTTCTTGGTTAAAGATACATCTCATTAAAAAGTGCCTTTTCCTTAGCAAATCTCTGCCCCAGCCCTTTTTTCTTTTCCCCTGGATTTTTATCCATGACTAGAACAGCCGTGGTTGTTTTGTGGATATAGCCATTCTTAAAATAAAAGCCCTCCATGATGTAACTGAATGGAGAATGATGCAGCTGCTTTGTACATTTCTGTCTTAACGTTTTTCACAGTACTTGAAGGAAGAAGATGCAATACATGTTTCTTGAGATAGAGTGTGAAGTTGGGATGGGATGAGAATACCAGATTTCAGGGATTCAGAATGGATTCATTTCTTCCCCTAAAGCAGTGTTTTTCATCATTGGCCACTCGAAGATGTGTGGACTTCGCTGGCTGGGGAATTCCAGGAGTTGAAGCCCACACATTGTCAAGTGCCCAAGATTGGGAAACACTTATCCAAGAGCTGCCCATTTTCTAAACTTTTTTGAGTCTCCCAGAGTCCATTCTAATGTTTCCCTTTACAGATTATGGCTATGCAGAGTTTGTGACAGTTTTCTTTTTCTTGGTCCTTGTTTGTAGCAATTATTTGCTGCAGGACTGCATCTCGGCCCCTTTCCTGTTTAGATAGGGCCATGCAGATTATCAAGATTTGCAAGAAATTTTGAGGGAAAAAAGTTCAGCCTAAAAACACAAATATATCTCCTCCGTCTTTCCCTTCTTCCTAAAGTCCTTTCTTTCCATGCCTGGCACTATCATACCTTGCAAATGGCTTACACAAGGAAAGCTGCTATTTCTTTTTAAATGTCCCTGTTGTAATAATCTTATTTTTATAATTACAGCAGTTCTTTTATTATTCCAGCAGGACAGCTTTCTCAAATGCTCTTCAGATAGGTTCCTGTGATTTGCATTCAGTTCATACTCACTTCAAATTATGAAATGGTACAGGTAATACAGGTGTTTTCCAAATGCTCTGTTATTTTGTAAATAAATATACTAGAAATATCTTTTTCTGCTTTTCACACTTCTCCAAGCAATCATTCTGTCCAAGAATACAGGATTCTTTTGGAGTTGGTGGACTCTTTGAGAGAAGTCATGAAAAGTTTACTATTTTATCCTTTCATTTGTATCTTTTTCCTAACCAAAAGATATGTATAGTTGGTGATGTCATTAAGTTCTTGGAGTGGAAAAGGAAAATTTGAGGGCATCCTTTGGAGGGGCAGAAAAAGGTAGCATTTCCAAGGCTTAAGAGACCCTTTATATCTCTTCAATAATGGCTATACTGTAAATGTCAAGCTCCAAAAACCAAGAAAGACACGTTTTGATTTTTCCAAGCAGATTGCTTTATTGTTCCTTATCCATACACAGGCTTTTATTTATTAAATTTGTTTGCCACCCATCTCACAAAAGCTGACTACCAGCCATATAAAGCATAGACCAGGGGAACTATTAGGAAGGAGCCGCCTTCAACCTCTTTCTCTCACACAAAGAATCTGAACTGAGTTGGCTCTTGCTCCTCTGGAATACACTCCCTGTCTCCTGGGAATCCAGACTACATTCCATCACAGTAAGTCTCTAGTGGGAAAATTACCATAGTCTTCCCCTGGTTGTTTAAATGCTTTTATTTATATTGCTATTGTCTATTTCTCTCTTATTTTTAATGTTTTTATTTCTGAGCCACCCAAGTGTTGTCAGGAGTCAAGCAATATATAATTTTAATCAATGAGTTAATAATAATTCTACTCATAAGCTATTGCATGCTCCAAGTGCTGTTGGGATACAGCTTGCAAGTCTTGGGTTATCGGATGCAAAAATCCAGATGACCATTAGAAAGATTTCAAAACAAAGGATTACATTTGCATGTATCTGTTTATTGCTGTCTAACAATTCTCTGGGAGACTTCAGAACTGATAACTACTAGTGATTTCATTCTTTCTCACATGGAGAACTAAACATGGCAGTATCTTGCCACAGAAGGCTTTTTTTTAAAAAGAAACCTGTTGCAGATCATATGCTTCTGTGGATTATAGAAGCATAAATCAAAGATTTGTAGAGTTGGAAGGGACTACCTAGATCATCTAATCCAACCCTCTGATTTATGCAGGAAAATTGATTAGACTGCACAAAAGGGGCTGTTCAGTTTCTTTTTAAAAACCTCTTGAGATGGAGACCCACAGCCTCCATATGTAGAATGCTTTAGTGTGATACCATCACTAAGTTTTTCCTTATGTTTACCCAACATCTAAGTAACTTACATTTGTTATTTCTGGTCCTGGTTTTCATAACCTTGAAAAAGACAAGTGACTTCCTTTTATGTATCTAGCCAAGCTTCTTTCTTCTGACTGAATATCCCAAATTCTTTCAGACTTTCATATAAAGTTGAACCCAATCGTAACCCATAATTGTTGGCAAAAGCACACCCTCAATTATTTCTTAGTGGAAAACATACAGACATGGAAGTGGAAAGTCAGAATTCTGTCTTGGGATCCCATTGCTCAGAAAGGGAACACTTGATTCAGGATATCTTTGTGCATGTCATCTGGAAGATTGCCTTACATTACTTTACAGGTGTGGTGGCTACCTAAGATCTTTGCTTGATACCTTTGATCTAACTCCAAACTAAAAAAGAATCCATGTCTTTTCAAAGACTCGATATATCCAAAAATGCTGCTGATGATGTGAAGTTAGCATTATAAAGTAACAGAGTTGGAAGGGACCTTGGAGGTCTTCTAGTCCAGCCCTCTGCTCGGGCAGGAATCCCTGAACTATTTCAGACAAATGGCTGTCCAATCTCTTCTTAAACACTTCCAGTGTTGGAGCATTCACAATTTCTGGAGGCAAGTTGTTCCACTGATTAATTGTTCTATTAGGAAATTTCTCCTTATTTCTAGGTTGTTTGTTTTTCTTGTCCTGCCTTCAAGTGCTTTGGAGAATAGTTGACTCCCTCTTCTTTGTGGCAACCCCTGAGATATTGGAACATGTCCCCCCTCGTCCTTCTTTTCATTAAACTACTAGACATACCCAATTCCAGCAACCGTTCTGTATATGTTTTAGCTTCCAGTCCCCTGATCATCTTTGTTGCTCTTCTCTGCACTCTTTCTAGTGTCTCAACATCTTTTTCACATCATGGTGACCAAAACTGGATGCAGTATTCCAAGTGTGGCCTTACCAAGGCATTATATGTCCTGGGCAGAATGTCCCCATCTCCAAAAGGCAGAATCAGCATCTCCCCACCTACACATGTCATAGGCAACTCCATCTGAGGGCTCAAGAGTGCTAAATTTAGCAGCAATTTAATCTGAAAAGAGGCCTCAGTCTTGCAATGTCAATCCGGGTAGCTCTACGCTCTTGTGCCCTTCCTCCCTCCCTCCCTCCCTGTGATATTTTTATTGAGTTCAGCATGTCAAGAATTTCAGGGCATAAAGAAAGTCACCTTCTTCTGGAATGGCTTATCTTGGTGGCTTTTCAGATGCAACAGATGACTGAGCTACCAATTTCTGAGGCTAACTCAACCCAAGTGTTGATCTTTTCCACTGCCCTCCAACCACAGCCTTTCCTCTTCTGTTTTGGGGGATAAAGGCTCTGGGGAATTTAGCACATCTGCCTGCTTAGTACAGAGAAAAATGCAGATGTTCAACAAGCAGCAGCTTTGAATCAAAGAAGATGGAGAACGTTAGAATGTTATGTGCTGCTAATGAATGGAGTATAGTATGCTGTATCCTGGTTTGTTTAACAATTAAAAATTATTGGGATTCATTCATCACAAACTATAAAATATTTAATATCTATTGAAGAGTCGGTTGGAAGTAATTATATTTCATAACTTTAGGGAGTCTTTCTTTTTTCTTTCTTTTCTTACACTTTTTTCTTCTTTTCTCCTTTTCTATTTTTTTCTATAGATTTGTTTTTTACTTTATACAAACTCATTAAATGTAAGTAGTAAAAGAGAGACTATAAGACATGATGTACAAACTGTAAGGGCTTGGGTTCTTCACAGGTCAGATTATTAGGAAAATCAAATAAAGCATAATGAATAGCTGCAATTGCATAATATATTAAAGCTGGCCTGCTTCGACCCTGAGTGATTACATACATAGTACAAAGCCCGCCCACCTGGCTAGTGTAATGTATTGTAATAACCTTTATGAATGACAAGCAATTAGTGAAAAACTTCTGACTATCCTTCCAGATACCCTTCCAGACAATCCAAGAGTGCCCTCTACTGCTTGTTGCTGCAACTCTCCAGATTATCTCTAGTGGAATTTTTGTAGGTCCAAATAATCAGACAATCCATATCCCATTAAATCATCGTTTCAAAGGTATTTTGTTATCTAAACAGAGAAAAAGAATGACCACCGATGGGTAAAAAAGCAGTGGGAGCAACTTTCGACTTTCTGCAGGCTTCCCCATTGAGTTTCCTTGTGGGAAGCTGGCATGGAATTCCTTTCTTCCCTTCCTTTCTTCCCTTCCAGGCAGCCTTCCAGGTAAATGGTTGATGCTGGGTGGGTGGGATTGAGAGTGGCTAGGAAGCTGCCACAGAACATTCAAAATGAGTGTCACATGACTACAGCAGTAGCCCAGCAAAACTGAAGCCACAACTTCCCCAAATTCCATTCCTTCTGGAGTCATGGATCCCAGAATTTGGATGCATTCTGTAAGCCCATATGAGGAGCCTTGAGTCAAAACTGTTGCCCTCTATGGCACAATTTTGCCCAGTTAAAAGTTACAGGAATGACAGTATATTGATAATCCCACTAATTAACAAACCAGTTCCAAACATCAACAAATGCAGATTTTGTAAAGAAAAAAAGGAAATTCTGGGTCAGCGATACCATAAAGTCACTCAAATTGATCATAAATTGTGTCAAGACAAAAAAGCACAATTTCTGAGATTTGCACACAGTTCACAAAATTGAAGAAGTTGTTCCCACCACAGGCCATTTGTTGTTGCAATCCAGTCCTCTGCCTTTTTTTAAAAAAAACTTCTCACCACATCATCACAGCTTAGAAACAGCTGATCTGATAATCATCAAAATAAACATAGTCGTAATCCAAAGCAGGAAGGTAGCTTTGATTGTATAATCCAAACAACAATAATCCAATAATTATTTTTTTCCAAATTTCTTTGAATTCCTTTGCCAGAAAGGAAGGTAGGGGAGGGGGAGGGAAATGGCTGCATTAGGAGTCTGGCAGCCAGCCTGAAAAAAAACAACAACAAAATTCTTTTTTGGGTGCTAGATGATAAAATGTCACCATTTTCTTAGCTTAACTCCTGGTTTAGGTGTCTAAGAGTTATTTAAAATACCACAAATTCCAGAGCAAGACAGGAAAACCTCCTGTCAACAGAGGGATGTAACTCCACCCTTCTGGTCATAACGTCCTATTAAAAACAGCAGATTAACTTTTGCGGAATGTTGTGTCTGCGCAAAACTGTGGACTTGGCTTTACATGACAACAAATAAATACGGACCAAAGAGGATCTTAGGCAATCAACTTTTTTTTTTCAAACAATTTTTATTATTTTTCCATTTTACACCAACAGAAGCTTAAGAGCCAGCGTGGAGATATGGTGGTCAATTACAAAAGAAACAATAACATTATATAAATACAATTCACACAATGTTTCTTAAAATTTCCCTCTCTATCTATGTAGAATATTATAATCAAGTAGATTCAAATACATTCATTCATTGATATATCTAAATATAAATTACCTTAGTCAATAAAAACTTTCGACTGCTCAATATCAATATAATAATCAAATTAGAACAATCCTATAACCAATTCATTCATTAATATATCGCTATATATAAATTAAATGCTTAAATCAAAACTGACGCTCTCTCTCTGTTTAAATTATTACAATCTCATTAGTGCATTTCTAACACTAGTTTTCATTAAATATCTCGCTGAGTATACATTTCATTCATCAATAAACATTTACAAAAGCTCCTTAGGCAATCAATTTTTATTCCCTCTCTGCCAATGAGGCCAAATGACCCAGCTAAGCTCACCTTTTCCTTCTTCAGTTGTGGCTGCATCCTTCTCTCAATGCTTGGCCCCTAAACAGGGACCTAAAAATTTTCCTTGGTGCCAAGCCAGGATCAAGCCAAGACTTGCCTCTGACGTAGTCTGAGCAGACAGACAGCCGTCCTTTCTCCCTTCCCCTTCTCTTCACCACACCCTGATATCTCCTTCCTGGATCTTTTCCCCCTGTTTCAGGATTCCTATCCAAGAGGGGCAAAGAAGAGTTGAAGTCACCAGTCAGAGCCTGTATGGCTTCCTTCCTGAAGCCCCTTCCCCCAAATCCTTGCAGGCTGAGAAGTGGGTGCATGAATCTGCAGCACAGGGCAGAGGCAAGCAGGCAGTTGTGAACCATGCGTACTAACCAGATTGTGAAATATACTCTCTTTACCTCCTGCTACCTCTTCTGGGTGAGTCAAAAGGGTGAATACTTGGTAGTGCTGGGATATGCATTGGCTTTACCAGGGAAAACTACCGGTTCCCAGGAAGGCTACGTAGCAGAGATGGTGTCACAGAGATGGTGCCCTATAACCCATTTTGTATCTTAAACTCTGGGAATGCTGGGTGAGTTAGCCTTTTCCTCCTTAGCAAAACTGTTAATGTTCAGGGTAGGCCTCTGGACAAATAAGAAATTGGATGTGCCTTTGTGTTTCCTCCTTCAAAGGTAGCCAGTGGGCTCATGGTGGCTGTTGGAATTTACGCCAGGCTCTCAAAGGAAGCAGGTGAGTGGCCTGACCCTATATAGCAGGGGTCTTCAAACTTGGCAACTTTAAGACTTGTGGACTTCAACTCCCAGAATTCCTCAGCCAGCCAGCCAGGGCTGGCTGAGGAATTCTGGGAGTTGAAGTCCACAGTCTTAAAGTTGCCAAGTTTGAAGACCCCTGCTATACAGAATTTGCTGGGATGCAGTCCGCATTAGGTGGAAGATGAGAAATCTGGGCTTGTCCTCATGGTCATGTTAACATGCTATTCTCCAGGTCTTGAAGCAACAACTGGTATAACTTGCACTGTCCCAACAGTTCAGCTCTATTCTGTCTCAGGAATGAGGCTGGCAAGTGGTGCTGACCTTACAAATTTATGAGGAACAGATGTGATGGTCTATGAGAATATCCTTGAGAGACAGGAGGAGGGGGGGAGCAATCTAGGCACCGGTAGGCATGACAGATGTCTCAGAAGAGACCCTCCATCGTTTCTTGGACTGTGAAGGCAAGGCAAGTGGGGGGAGAGATACACTTTGAGACTTGCAAGATTCTTTACTGTAACCTTACAAAAGGTAATTAGGGTTCCTGGTTGAATGCTCTTATCTTGATTGTCTCTAAGTAAGTTAGGAAAAGTAATGGATGGTATCTTCTGGCTTTGCTTCCTCATGCACCAAGTTTCATTTGTTGGTGAGAAAACCAATCATCAATTAATCTCCTTAACTGGGGAAGGGGACTGGAACTCCCAGTCCCCTGATTTCTGACCTGGTGCCTTAACCACTAAACCAAACTGGCTCTCAGAATATAATGAGAGAGGAGGAAGAGTTCTCACAGTGAACCAAGATGGGAGTCCAAGTTTCAAAATGGGATGAGAAGGAAAAGGAGATCAGCCTACAAACCAACCCATCAACAAAGTCATATTTGCAGACTAGAACTTCTGGTTATTAATTTGTTAATTGATTTACTTGTTTATTTAATAAATACATTGTCATGCTCAGATTCTTCCCTCAACCCCACTCTCCAATGCTTCAGCTCCTCTGCTTGGGCTATGTTGTTGTGCTGGACCAGTATGTAAATTTGGCCAGACCATATATTTAGCTTAGAAAACTGTGTGTAGAGCAAGTAGCATTTTAAGGGTTAAAGTGCTGTCTCCTTAAGAGATGGCTTCTGGGAAATGTAGTTTAGTTGTTACATGGTTATATCTGTGTTCTAATTGGTCAGTTCTATGTCTTAATTAGCCATTGGGAGGGACTTCAATGTTTTATGATAGGATTTCCTGGCTACCTGCCAGCATGTAAAGTTTTGTGTAGTACAGCCAGAAGACCCTTTGCTCCATACGAATATTATTATTATTATTATTATTATTATTATTATTATTATTATTATTATTATTATTATTATTATTATTATTATTATTATTATTATTTGGATTTATATCCCGCCCTTCTCCTCGTAGGACTCAGGGCGGCTGACAATTAATTAAAATACATAAATAACAATACAAATTTAAAATTCATTAAAAGAAATATTTAAATATTGTCCCATTTAAAATATAATTAAAACCCCTCTAAAAATTACCCTAGGCCAGTCCTGCAAGCTGGAATAACCAAGTCTTGAGGGCGCGGCGAAAGGAAGGGAGATCAGGGATAACCCTGATCTCTGGGGGCAGTTCGTTCCAGAGGGTGGGAGCTCCCACAGAGAAGGCTCTCCCCCTTGGGGTCGCCAGCCAGCACTGTCTGGCCGACGGCACCCTGAGGAGACCCACTCTATGGGAGCGTACAGGTCGATGGGAGGTAGTCTGCGGCAGGAGGCGGTCTCGAAGGTATCCGGGTCCGATGCCATGGAGCGCTTTAAAGATGATAGTCAGCACCTTGAAGCGCACCCGGAAGGCCACAGGCAGCCAATGCAGCTCGCGCAGCAGCGGCGTCACGTGGGAACGTCGAGTCCCCCCCAACACCGCCCGCGCGGCCGCATTTTGGACCAGTTGGAGCCTCCGGGTGCTCCTCAAGGGGAGCCCCATGTAGAGAGCATTACAGTAGTCCAGGCGGGAGGTGACAAGTGCGTGAGTGACCGTGCGTAGGGCGTCCCGGTCCAGAAAAGGCCGCAACTGGTGAATCAGGCGAACCTGATAAAACGCCCCCCTGGTCACGGCCGACAACTGGTCTTCCAGCGTCAGCCGCGAATNCAATTAACCAGTGGAACAACCTGCCTCTGGAAGTTGTGAATGCTCCAACACTGGAAGTTTTTAAGAAGAGACTGCACAGCCACTTGTCTGAAATGGGATAGGATCTCCTGCTTAAGCAGGGGGTTGGACTAGAAGATCTCCAAGGTCCCTTTCTATTCTATTCTATTCTATTCTATTCTATTCTATTCTATTCTATTCTATTCTATTCTATTCTGTAATTCTATTCTATTCTATTCTATTCTATTCCATTCTGTAATTTATTTATTTATTTATTTATTATTTAGATTTATATCCCGCCCTTCTCCTCGTAGGACTCAGGGCGGCTGACAATCAATTAAAATACATAAATGACAATACAAGTTTAAAATTAATTAAAAAATATTAAAGATTGTCCAATTTAAAATATTGATTAAAACCCCTCTAAAAATTACCATAGGCCAGTCCTGCGAGCTGGAATAACCAAGTCTTGAGGGCGCGGCGAAAGGAAGGGAGATCAGGGATAACCCTGATCTCTGGGGGCAGTTCATTCCAGAGGGTGGGAGCTCCCACAGAGAAGGCCCTCCCTCTTGGGGTCGCCAGCCGGCACTGTCTGGCCGACGGCACCCTGAGGAGACCCACTCTATGGGACTGTACAGGTCGATGGGAGGTAATCTGCGGCAGGAGGCGGTCTCGAAGGTATCCGGGTCCGATGCCATGGAGCGCTTTAAAGAAGATAGTCAGCACCTTGAAGCGCACCCGGAAGGCCACAGGCAGCCAATGCAGCTCGCGCAGCAGCGGCGTCACGTGGGAACGTCGAGCCCCCCAACACCGCCCGCGCGGCCGCATTTTGGACCAGCTGGAGCCTCCGGGTGCTCCTCAAGGGGAGCCCCATGTAGAGAGCATTACAGTAGTCCAGGCGGGAGGTGACAAGTGCGTGAGTGACCGTACGTAAGGCGTCCCGGTCCAGAAAAGGCCGCAACTGGTGAATCAGGCGAACCTGATAAAACGCCCCCCTGGTCACGGCCGACAACTGGTCTTCCAGCGACAGCCGCGAATCCAGGAGGACACCCAAGTTGCGAACCCTCTCCGAGGGGGCCAAAGTTTCGCCCCCTATAGTCAGCGATGGAATCAGCTGACTATGCCGAGGCGCCGGTAACCACAGCCACTCGGTCTTGGACGGGTTGAGCCTGAGTCTGTTCCTCCCCATCCAGACCCTCACAGCCTCCAGACACCGGGTCATCACGTCAAGGGCATCGTTGGGGTGGCCCGGAGTGGATA